ATTGGGAAGTGAGTTATGGACGATCAAAAAGTGTGTTGCTAATTTTTGGGACACACTGTATACTCATTGTCTCGTGTTCTGCAGTAGGAAGAGAAGCGAAATGATAGATGATGGAGGAGCAGCTGAACAAGTGGTTCTGGGCCCTGAAAACACTGGAGCTTTTTATGATAATCCGGAATCAACAGGCAGCATAGGTGGTCCAGACGAGGAGGGTAATCAACGAAGAGGTAAGCGTTACTTCTCAATGACAGCTCTAGTTTTTATGAAGGTTCCGGCAGCTCAGAAGAGCCACTTGCTGTCGTGACTGCATCCGGTGCGGCGGTCCAAAAGGAATGGTCTTGGACGAGTGCTCAATTTGCTGTTATTCTTCTCCCAATTCTCTCATTGGTAATTTCTGCTGTAAGTGAATACTCTCATTTGTGTCAAAGCTGTAAAAATAAGCTTGTAGCCGAGGCTGGGTCTGGAATGGAATGACGACCAGTGCTTCCATAATTACGCATGTGCAGAACCTCTTTGGGTTTTCACCTCATTCAATCACATCTTCAGCAATGCAGGATATGTATTTGATAGCATCTTCTATCTCATATTTGTGAAACTTCGTAAAAAGAAACCTACGGCAAGTCAAAACCTTTTTGGACTTGGCCAAAAAAGAACATTGGTTATATTGTTTCAGTCAGGGTATGGTACATACAACAATTATGGTTTGGAAATCTCCATGGGTTTGTCGCTTTTATGCGAAGCATTGGCAAGTTCCATCTATCACACATGTCCTAATGCTATAACGTACAACTTGGGTACGGCTTGCTATTCTGTCTATCAACCAACTAGCATTGTTGTTGTTTTTGTTCCAGATACTCCATTCATAGAGGTGAACTGCCTACTTATGATGCTGAAGCTTTATGGGAATCGACGACAAGTTATTACACCTCAACTCGCTAACAATGCCGTGACATCTGCGATTCTATTCGACAGCATTATTACGGTTTGTTTATCAACCGAATTATGCTGTGCTGATCTTCTGTCGAGAGCCGATTGAACGTCGATTTT